ACTCGAGTGTTTCGTCAACTTAATGTGTTGCTTAAAATAATACTTCTGCATACAGTATGTGACACTGTAAACGTTGCACGGCCAGATACGGCTCAAGAAACTGATTCAGATAAGGAAATATATGATACATTATGATGTGATATGAATGATCATGGGACACATCGACGTCTGCACTCACAGTGCCGCGGACTGAACTTAATGTTACTCTGATCCGGTTACTTATGTTGTGGCAGATATGTAAGTTCGTTTTCTTAACGCTAATGTTATAATAGTCAGATTGCTCTGAAGATGGGAGGTGATATTCTATTAATGTTCACGTTCACACAGTCGGTGATTTTTGCCGGCCGTCTTTCCTGCAACGGCAGTTTTTCTGTATTTCCTTTCTCCTGTAATATGACTTGATCGCTTTAAACTCCACACACTGAGCTCTGATTGGTCAGCAGGCAGTGCTTTCACTGAGTTGATCTCTTATCCTGGAACCTAACCCGCTCCGGATGTTAGCCGTTCAGCATAAGTTACCATGGAGATCTAGCCTTTTAAGAAGAGAACCAGCGTCGTAGGACCGGAAACCCAGAGTTTTCCCTGAAGTTAGCTCGCTAAGTGAAAATCCTGCTTCGTAGTACAGGCCACTGGATGGAGTTCCAAGCAGATGGGTTATGTAAGAAAACCATCAACAAATCTGGACTTTGCTTGCCGTGTCAGAGGTTGGACCCAAAATAGACTTCATTATCTTCTAACGTTTACCCCACATGACTCCAGTGTAAAGATAAGAGGTGTGTGTGTGGGGGGGGGATAGGTTAAACAAACACAAGACCTTTACCCGGGGGAAATGTTTGTGTCCAATGTGAAACCCTTAACTCAACACACACTTATCTTAAGGGAAACCACGTAACAAATTCACTAAATGTAATCTGAACCTCAGCCAGCAGTATAGTCGACTAAACCTACTTTAGGGTTGATTACCTAGAGTCCATAAATGTGACTAGTTTGGATTAAGGACTGGTTGTATTGGCAGGCTTTCTTTTAACTGAAATCAAGGACCCTTTGTGTCCAAAATTGCAACAAATTTAGGGTAATTTTCAGTAACTTCATGGTAAATGTATCGACAGGCATAGAAAAGGTTGCGTTTCTTCGCATCAGGTAACATTAGTTAGTAATTTAGTCACCTAAACCTATTTTACGCTAAGGGGTACTGACCTCCTGTCCATATCGAGGATTGTTTTCTTTGTGAAGCTTCATTTTACTGAAATCAAGGACCCTTATGCGTCAAAAACTGCCAGAAATGTAGCGACATTTTGAGGAACTTCATTGTAAATGTCCTGACAGGCTTAGAAAACCCTGACTAGAGTTGTGTTTCCTCGCCACGACTCGCCTGACGTAACTCTAGTTGTGGTTTGGGTTAAAATCTGTGTTCATGGAGACATTAGGAATCTAAAATGTGGACTATAATGCCTCGAACCTTCTTGGTCCTGTTTCCGGGCCTCATGTTGGTCCAGGTGAGATGCAGGTAGACCTTGTCTCCATACTTCTTCCTGTCGGTGTGCGCTTTGCAGTAAATCGTCACATTGCTGCCCGCGCTGACGAACCATGTTGGAAACGCCTGCAGCTTCGTTCCTATAACGCCCGTGTAATTACTCTTGGGCTTTGTGTCCCGACGCTGCACATCTGAAGTCAGCCAGAAAAGAAAAAGTTAAATATTTCACTAGCAATAAAATAAACTAAAAGGCTCCTGCAAATCTCCAAGTTTATTAATAATTAACGATTTTTTTATTATAATCATTAATAACTACTAATAAGGAATGCAAAATGAAATAAATCTGTGCTTTGTGTATATTGTTATTTATTATTAGTGGACGAGAAGGTATCCAATTACCTAACTTAAGAAAAAGTACTAACAAAACCATGAAAATACTATTTTACAAGTTAAGTTCGTGCATTGGACATGTTACTTGAGTACGTAAGTAAAACCAGGAGATTGTAGTTAAAGTATTACAAATATACTATTATATAATATATGTTTAGATTATGCTTAAGCCTACAAAAAAAGCCCTCTCCCTGGCTAGGTCTTCGTACTACTCCACCCTCATTGGCATCCAACAATCCCAACCGAGAATGCTGTTCTCAACCATAAACCGGCTTCTCCGCCCCCTTGATCCCCCCCATCCCCCAGGTGCTCTTGATCTCTGCTCGAAGTTTCTGGATTTCCTCCAGGCCAAAGTTGATTCCATCCACCAGCAGCTTCTGGTGCCTGCCCCCCCCCCCCCCCCCCCCCCCCCCCTACTTCAACCACACCCCAGCCACAAGGTATTACTCATCCACCTAGGTGTTGCCTCTCCACCTTCTCCCCAGTGGATGTCATCCAAATTATCAAGCTGGTTACTAATATAAGGCCAAGTCATCGACCTGCTCTCTTGACCCCATGCCCACAGCCTTGGTCAAGGCAGCTCTATCCACCATCTGCCCCATCATTGTTGACATTGTGAACTTGTCCCTGTCTTCTGGCACAGTCCCACCCTGCCTCAAAACTGCCTCAGTCTCTCCAATCCTGAAGAAGCCTGGCTTGGACCCGGAGGACCTCAACAACCACCGGCCGATCTCAAACCTCCCATTCGTGAGCAAGATCTTGGAAAGAGCAGTTGCCGCACAACTGCAACACCACATGTCACTGCATGAGCTCTACGAACCCCTCCAGTCTGGCTTCAGACCATATCACAGTACTGAGACTGCCCTCATCAAAATCACAAACGACCTCCTCATCGCATCTGATTCTGGCCTCATCAGCATTCTCATCCTCCTCGACCTCTCAGCAGCCTTCGATACCATATCCCATTCCATCCTCCTCAGCCGCCTGTCTGACTACCTTGGCCTCAGTGACACAGCTCTTGCATGGTTCGAGTCCTACCTGTCTAACAGGAAAAACGTTGTCACCATCAGTGACTGCAGCTCCCCTCCCGCCCCAGTCAACCAAGGTGTACCTCAAGGCTCTGTGCTTGGACCCCTCCTATTCAATATCTACATGCTCCCACTTGGTCAAATCATCCGCCAACATGGTCTCAGCTTTCACTCTTATGCTGATGACACACAGCTCTATCTCTCCACCAAACTGTCCACTCAGCTCCCCCTCAATCCCTTGTCAACTGCCTACAGGACATACAAAACTGGATGTCATCAAACCTGCTCAAAATCAACAGCAATAAAACAGAGCTCATGATTGTGGCTCCCAAGACGCAGCTCCAGAAGGTAGGTGACCTGCTTCTCTCCATTGACGGCTGCTCCATCTCCCCGTCCACTGAAGTCTGCAACCTGGGAGTCATCCTGGACTCCACCCTCTCTTTCCAGGCGCACGTCAAATCTGTCACCAAATCCGCCTTCTACCACCTAAAAAACATTGCCAGAATCCGGCCTTCACTCTCTGACTCTGTGGCAGAAACCCTTGTACACGCCTTCATTACATCCCGTCTGGACTATTGCAATGGAGTCCTGTCCGGGGTTCCCAGCAAAACCCTGGATAGGCTCCAATACGTCCAGAACTCTGCCGCCAGGCTTCTCACCCACACCAAGCCATGGCACCATATCACCCACACCCTCATCCACCTACATTGCCAAGTCCCGGATTCAATACAAAACACTCATCCTCACGTACAAGTCCCTCCATTCCCTCGCCCCCCAGTACTTATCGGACCTCCTCCATCCCTACACCCCTTCTCGGAGTCTGCGGTCCTCAGACACGGGCCTGCTCTCCATCCCCCGCTCTCGCCTCCGAACTGTTGGTGACAGGGCATTCAGTGTTGCGGCCCCCACCCTCTGGAATGCACTTCCTGCCGAGATCCGGAACGCTGCCTCCCTGGACATCTTCAAATCATCACTAAAAACACACCTGTTCACCCCGGCCTTCGGGCCCTAGCCCTTTTCTGGTCCCCTGGCTTCCTTTATTTATTTCTTTGGTTTGCCCGTTGATTGTCTGTCTGTTTTGTTTGTCCACCATGTACAGCGACCTTGGGTCCCTTGAAAGGCGCTATATAAATATCATTTATTATTATTATTATTATTATTATTATGTTTAGATTATGTTTGCTATGCATTATGCTAACAGCTGATTTGCCCTGCTGTAGTTTGAGGTGGAGCTCATTTTGATATATGGTGATTTTCATTTCTGCAGATACTCACGATGAGGTGAAGATCCATCAAAAATGCTCTTTGCGCTCACAAAGGAGAAGAGGACACACAGCACTGAAACACAGAGTTCAATATGAGCTTAAAGTGTTTTAGTGAAGATATAAATGAGTAATAACACTTACAGCCTGAAGCGAGTCTCATCCTGATGAAGTCTCGTCTCTGTCTGTCACTCCGAAAGCTGATGCGTTTTAAAGGTCAGGAAACGTTTGTTTTATCGGCCGTTGACCCTCGATCTGTCTTCTTTCCAGTGATCTGATTGGTCGGCTGGTTGATAACATATTTAGGTTTTGGGGGTTAAAGGTTGCTCCCTTTCAGTTTATTATTGACACATCTGTTTTTCTAATTTACTCCTAAATTAGATCCAGTTTAAAATATAAATATTTTTGGTCTTATTTATTTATTTCACTGTATTATTTTAAAATTAAAATAAAGTGTTTTTTTGTCTGGCCAATAATCCATTTATTATATGGTTGATTCATTCATTCAGCTAATCATTTTTATATAATACCTAACAATTATGAGTACAAATGCAAATGTATTACCTGATTTCCTAAAAAAGCATTAGGGTCATTTTTTATTTTCAGTCAGTGAGGTTAAAAACAATTTCAATTACTAAATAAAGTGTGTTTCATTATAATCTAGTGTACTCACAACAGCGACTCTGTGGCCAATTAGCAGTTTGTTTAATGGACTATTGTGTGTATCGTTGCAACTTAACATTTATTATGTTGAGAGGAGAAAAGAAAACATGGCGCTCTGATCTCCTCCTTCTCTCCCTCCTTTTATTTATTCATGTTTCTGGTAGAGCAACGAGGAAGAGGAGGAGGAGGAGGAGGAGGAGGAAGCTGCAGAGTTACTCTCATACTCGAACACCATGATGGGATTTACACCGCCGGAGTTTGGACCCTGAATCGGTACGAAGAGATTTGTACTTTTAATATTATAATGTAGTCTTGTATTCAATCTACAATGATTTACTGACACATCAGTGTTTACTCAAGGACTCATTTCACATAAATGCACTCATACTTGTGCTCCACTACATTTATGAGGCAAATATTGTACTTTTTTTTTAGCTAAATGTACTTCAATGTTAATTTATGAAATGCTTCAATAATTTGATGCAATAATGTAATTGTCCCTGTTGTTTATATCTTTATCGTTTTTTTGCATTCAAGACGATGTTGTTACTACTTTTATTGAAGTAAAAGGTCATATAATCTACTGCAACATTTAGCTTATTTGAGCCTGGGATTTAAGATTTCCATTGCCATAGCTACACTGTGGCTGTGCTTATGACAATAAAGCCTTTAAATCTTTGAATTCATAAATAATAAAGCAATAAACAAACAATAAACAATTACCAGAAACAATCAATTACGATGTGTGTGTCGTTAACAAATAATGAGGATAATAAAACAAGAAACGCAGGCATTTTATCAGCTATGTAGAAATATATATATATAGTTTGATGCTATAAATAGTAGCTTTACAATACGTTTTATGGATTTTAATAAGGTATTTGATGTGAGCATTTAGGCAAATAGAAAAGGGGCTTGCAACAGATGCAGATCATCTTTAGACCCTTTTTAATTCAGAGGTAGGATCATGCATGACATTTCACACAGCAGGACGATCCCGAGAGGATTCGTGTGTGACAGAAAATAGCTGAAGGTAAAACAGAACTGCCATTTACTGAGGTGATCTTTAGCAGCCTGGAAAATGACAGAAAATGTAAAAAATTACTGAGACTGAAAAATGTTTTGTGATTTATAATCACTTCGTTTTTTTTCCTCTGTCCAATCAGGTGCTGATTATAGATCCACAAATACTAAATCAAAGTCTGAAACCATCACAATGGATAACGTCCAATCAGAAGACTTGATTCAAGAGGGGGCAGGGCTTGCAGATGCCCTTGGCAACACAGATCCCAACGCTAACTTAGGGGCGGAGCCTAACTTCAACCTCAATCTCACTCTGACTTCGCAAAGCAACCCCCGCCCAAGCAAAAAAGGAGGAGTGGCTAAAGATGATTCATCGAGACAAAAAAGTAAAATTCCAGCTTTGTGTCTCACACCGACTGCCGAGCATTTGCTGAAATCCCCAAATCCAAAATGTACCTCCACTCTGAACCCCAAGACACATAGCAACATTGCGTTAAGTCCAAAACCCAACCGGTCGGAACAATCAACCATCGCAACCAGCCAGAGAACAACCGAAAAAATCAAAAGTCAGTCCTTACAGGGATCAGATCCTGTCTCAAACCACAAATCACATGTTTCACTGACAACAAAGACTACAAACAAAGTAACAGGGAGCCTAAAGATGCCGACACACGATACCCAGTCGCCAAAAATGCTTCAACTTCCCATAACCCAGGACTTCCACAACCAGAAAGAGGATACAAACAGTCCAAAACTCGCCAATCAAACCCCAATTAGCACTAAAGCTCAAAAACAAGACCCAGCAAGGCAAGAATCAAGAACCCATAGTTCTGAGATGCCAAAATCTCCGAATCAAAAGGCGGAGATGGTTCTGCTGAGTGCCAAGAATCCTCAACCGAGTTCTGTAAGTCCCAAACCATCAACACAGAGGAACTCTTCTGGAACGAGAAGCAGAAACACATCAGGGTCTAAGGAGAAACCGGAGGGTAAAGATTCAAGTGTTGGTTCAAGATCAAAAACCAGTACAAATGCCAGTCCTGACCCTAAAACTGCAACGGGGTCCAAGGAGAGCCTGGAGTCTAAGAGCCGTTCTGCTTCCAAAACCAGTTTGGGATCAAAGGACAGCTTAGACTCCAAAACTGGCATCAATTCCAAAGCCAGTCCCCTTTGTAAGTCTGGGACAGGTTCCAGAGATAGCCTTGATTTTAAAACGGCTACTGAAATCAAAGTGAGCAAAAACAGTCCAGATTCTAAGACAGCTGTGGGTTTGAAATCTGGCATGGGGTCAAAGGACAACCTGGATCTTAAACATCCTTCAAACTTTCAAGCCAGTTCCCGGTTGAAACCTGGTCCGACCCGTTCAACTTCTAAACCTTCTCTGGTTGCCTCTAAGACGGACCTTGTTGAATCTGCGACCCACTTGACTTCTAGAACCGGATCCAAAGATCTCAAACTCAACGAAGCAAGCTCCAGTGCTAAAACTACTCCAGATCCTAAAGCTGATTTAGATTATTCTAACTCTGGACCAGTTCGGTCTAGTTCAAAGTTGGCTCTGGCAGATTTGTCTCCCTCTTCGTCGCTTCCTCCGAGACCAAGTCCAGGAAATAGGAGTCCTGCTTACGGTTCTGGCAAAACTCTTGGTTCTAGTCCAACTGGACCAACAAGGGAAGTCCTGAAGAGTCCTGGTTCTGCTCAAGGTAATCACAAGTATTCCATTTTATTTTAGGAGATAAGACATAATTGACAAAAAGTAAAGTGAAAAACATAATGTATCTTTAAAACCTCAGGGTGTAAAGATTGACCGAATCAAAGGTTCAGTTAAAACCAGAAGTTTACAATATGTCAATAATACTGAAACACAATGAATGCATTTTTCTTTTTGTATTACTTTTAATATAATATACTTTAATATTGTTTTAATATTGTCTGCTTATCTGTATTATTGTGTTGCATTGTTGGAGAAGCCTGTGACCTAAGATTTTCAACGACATAATTACTCTGTCGCTATGTTAGTTTGACAATAAATAACCTTGAACCTTGAAGTAGGCCTACAATTAACTACAAAATGATATTCCTCAATGGTCAACATAGTAAAATAACTCAACATAAAACAGACAACAGAGCCACAAATCAGCACTGTGGACGTTTTGGTTTGGTTTAAGTCTTTGCTTCAGAACTGTGACACCCATAGTAAAAACGTTATACTATCACTAAGCTTTTAGATGATCGGTCAGTCTTAATCCAACCTGTTTCCTTGTTTAACTTCAGGCCTGATGGCTCCTTTGGCAACCTCCAGCCCCAAAATCAGAACCACCGTTTCCCTGACGATGACACGAGCATTCGCACCATGTGTCACTGTGGAAACAAACACCAGCAAGACATCCCATTATACCAGCCTGTCTCGGGGTCTCACCTTTGACTCTATAACGAAGACATCCACGAGGCATGTCGACAATGAAGAAAGGGTGGATGTGATGATACACAGCCCCCCACCGAGTCACCTGGGAGACAAAAGTACCAACAACGCTCTACCGTCAAGGGGTGAGGAAAGTAGGAAGCAAGAGAAAGGTGAACAGAAAGATGGTACTACATCTACCCTCCATTTTCTACCTCCAGTGAGGTCTTTAAGGGAGAAAGCGACCATGACTGACCCGAGTTTGGGGCTCCATTCCTGGGGAGGTGAGCGCAGAAATGTGGGCGTCCAAGTGGAGGTTGAACTCTTGACTTCCAACGACTCAAGTTTGCAAATGGGAGTTCCTTCCTCCAGTAGTTTGATCTCACCAACGATGGTCCAACACATTTGCAAGATCGATATCGAACTTAGCAGCCAATCGGTGTCTGAATCTGTAGAAACCGATCGCGCAAGTTCCCTTCCCGCCTGTTTGTGTACGTACAGCTTCCAGGAAAACCCCGAAATCACATCGGAGCTACGACTCGGACAAAACCAAGGCGTTAGCGTCGAGAGCTTCTGGGAAGAGGAAGTAGGAAGGGAGAAAACTGAGGTGGAAGTGGAAGTAGAGGAACAGGAACAGGAAGATGTTGGGAGGCCTCAGAATGTGGCGTGGGACGACCAGGGAAGAACTTGGGAAGTTTACGGCGCCTCGGTGGACCTGGAGTCTTTGGGAACGGCGATCCAATCCCATCTGGAGTCAAAGATCCGGGAGCAGCAGAAACACATCCGGACTCTGAGGCAGTCTGTCTGCTCCGAAAGCAGCCCCAGGGTGTACCGGATGAGGAAGAGGAGGGCAGGGATGCTGGGATGCTGCAGGAAGACGCCCAACGTGGAAGAATGACACGAGTCCGGAAAGTTAAAAAAAATCCTTCATAATGAAGACTTTGAAAAGGTGTTCGCATTTATGTGTACAGCACATTATATGATAGGCCTGCACGTATTTCCACTGTATGTATTATTAAAAGTAGAGTAGCGATAAGAAAGTAGATAATGCAAATCCTGGAATGATTGCAGTGTGAATGCTGGATTCTGATAAGCTTAATTCAAACGTTTGGATGAATTAAGGTTCATATTTCTGGAATGATGAAAGTTATGAATGTCTTATGAGTAAGAGACGCCAAATAACACCAATTATAGAGGCTCATGGTCACAGTTACTTCCAGGTCGGTATTCATAAAATATTACGTTAAAATGCAGCAGCAGAAACACATCCGGACAGAGCGGATGAGGAAGAGGAGGGCAGGGATGCTGCAGGAAGACGCCCAACGTGGAAGAATGACACGAGTTCGGAAAGTTCAAAAAATCCTCCGTACTCAAGACTTTGAAACGGTGTTCACATCCTTCAAAGACCCTAGCCTCATCCCAATACCCCTCCTCGACTCCTCCTTTCCCTCACTCGCGTCCCTTCCTTACATCTTAGCTCCGCCTCCGTAAGATGCGAGCGAGAGACACGAGGAGGTGACGCGAGGACAGAGGAGTCCTCAGTTATTAATTGGGACGTCCTCGTTCACTCAAACGTCACTTTTACACTACGTCTGTTAATGATGACATGTGCACAGCTGTATCCCCTCTCATCGGGCTGAACTGAAGAACCCTTAGAACCGGCCCATTTCTGGTTAAATATTTATTTAAATTAATGAATCTTTCTCTTGTTAGTCAAGGAATTCAATGTATGATGGTTGGTCCTGCTTTTGTGTTCCGTTTTGGTGTAAAATGTAGCCTACATTTAAATAAAAATATAATTATAGTAATGTGAAAGCCTTTTAGAAATGAACTGCACATAATAATTCCCACGGAGCTGTGAGCACTTATACATTTATGTGACGCTTTTCCACTCATCTTCCAGTTGTCGGTTTTCCTCTGTTGAAATGGACCAGCTGTGAAGGTGGGGGCGGGGCTTTTATACTCGAGTAGTGAAAACACTTCCGCGTAGTCTGCTCGCGTGTATCCTCCCTTTCGTTTCCTCCCTCACCCCTCCTCCCTCACCCCTCCTCGACTCCTCCGTGTGCATTTCAGCTATTGGGATGTCCTTCAACATGGAGTGTCTTGATCGATTTCCGGGTCAAGTCCCGGAGGAGGGGAAGAGAGGAGTCGAGGAGGGGTATTGGGATGAGGCTTCTCTCAAAACTCACTTATTCACTCTAGATTTCAATATCCCCCCCCCCCCACACACTTTACTCACACTTGGATTGGGACGACTTTTTATGCTTTTTTGTTTTCTTTGTACTGTTTCTGATGTTATGTAAAGCGTCTTTGGGCACTAGGAAAAGCGCTACAAAAATCAAATTATTATTATTATTCATGTGTACAGCACATTATATGATAGGCCTGCACGTAGGTCCACTATATGTCTTAATGAAAATAGAGAAGCAACAAGAAAGTAGAGAATGCAATTCCTGGAAAGAAATGCTGAAACGCTTAATACAAACATTTGGATAAATGACGGTTCATATTTCTGGTCGATCGATTGGGAGTGATTCTCAGCATTCACACCAAGAATCACACATTATAGAGGCTAATGGTCACAGTTACTTCCAGGTCGGTATTCATTACATATTACGTTGACGTTTGACCCAAGATCAATGTCCCTCCTAACCTGTGTGTGCATGGATCATAAACCTGAATGTAAACATACACACACTATGTTTTATTTTCCGTGGACTAAAAAGCATTTAAAATGGCAGAGGATGTTTTGATGAATTACATAATTCTGGTTATTTAACAGAAGAGTTTCAGTCTAGAAGTAGAGTGGAGTCGACAGCTCTCTACTCACAGTGCTGGTAAATATTTCATCTACTTCCTTTTTACAAAACACCGTCATCACAAACTACTCGCGCTCGGGAACCCAGAAAAGTGTGTGTATGTGTGTGTTCGTATGTGTGTGTATGTGTTCGTGTGTGTGTGTTCGTATGTGTGTGTGTGTGTATGTGTTCGTGTGTGTGTGTGTATGTGTGTGTTCGTATGTGTGTATGTGTGTGTTCGTATGTGTGTGTGTGTATGTGTTCGTGTGTGTGTGTGTGTGTGTGTATGTGTGTGTTCGTATGTATGTGTGTGTGTTTGTGTGTGTGTATGTGTTCGTGTGTATGTGTGTGTTCGTGTGTGTGTTCGTGTGTGTGTGTGTATGTGTTCGTATGTGTGTTCGTGTGTGTGTATGTGTTCGTGTGTGTGTATGTGTGTGTGTTCTTGAGTGTGTATGTGTTCGTGTGTATGTGTGTATGTTCGTGTGTGTGTGTTCGTGTGTGTGTATGTGTTCGTGTGTGTGTGTATGTGTGTGTGTGTCTTTCCTGGTCTTTTTAATTGTTGTTTTTTCTGTTTTCCATCCCTCTCTTTTCCGTCACCCATTTTCCTTTCACATGTTAGTCCTCTACTTCCTTGTTTCCCGTCTTTCCTTCTTTCCTTTCCTTTCGCTTCCAGGTCACAACAAGCTCTGCTCTGTCGATGGGATTTCTTAAGTAGAGCATATAAACGTTCTTCCTCCTTCATTATCACCACTTCCCTTCGTCCCTGTAGTTATGTGTTTGATGGAATACCAGGTTGCTCTCTGAATTATTCAGAAACATTAAGTCACGCTTGTGTTAACAACAGTCTCCGCCATGTCTTATTCAGCCTGTGCTTCAGATGAGGTCTCACACCATCAGTATTATGCTGATTTAAAGGGTCCCCATTCTGCTTGTTGGGGGTTTCTCTCTCCTGTAGTGTGTTCTATACGTTGTAGTGCATGTCAATTGTCTGCAAAGGCTTTAATCCCAAAGTTCAAGATTGCAGTGACATCACTATGTAACACTCACGCTTACACAAGAAAAATAAAGAGCTTTTTGAACATTAAAGCGTGGAGACATGTCACACCTGAAAATTGCAGAATATGGCCCCTTTAATAAAAATACTTAATCTCCCCTTCCTCCCAAACCTTTGAAGGTTTCCAGGAAGTGTCCGTCAGAGACACCTGAGGCCTGTTCGTGAGCGGAGAGAACGTCCTCCCATTAAGTGCTAAAAAATGCACTTATATCAAACCTCTCGTTTTTAAGTGAGCAAGCTTTTTCATTTATTTTAAACTGGAAAAAAAGGTCCCAGCATGTCTTTCCCTTTCGGTAACAAAGTTCCCCTCTGTGGGCTGCAGTAAGGTTTTCCAATTTTAAAACCATGAAGCATCTACAACAAATCATTTTTTATAAAATAGCATCTCAAAAGTGAAGCTGGATCAAGAAACATATTTTTGCCAATTTTTAGCAAAGGATTCTCAAAACAGTGAAAATACAGGAAAACTATAACGTAGGGAAAACGCATTTTCTGTATTCAATTTAAAGAATATTTTATGAGGGTTTCAAATAATGTAGAAATAATTATTTAAAGGCAACATTTTAATAACAACATTTAGGATATAGCATAAGTCTTATAAGTAACAAGATGCTTTTTGTGTGTTTTTCTACTATAAGTCAATTTACTGCAAGAGAACCTCTAAATGTATGCATCCTACATCAAAACCAAAACAGCAAAAAGTATAATAAGTAAAAGTATTTATTGTGCAGTAAAATATATTTGACGAGTCCTGTGAGAACCATATATCTCTAAATAAAAACTGCTGCTTTCTGATGACACATTTAGAGTTTTGTCCCAGCCAATAGGAGGAGGCGAGGGTGACCTGACAACAACAGCTGACAGGTATTGTTCTAAAGTCACACAAATACACACTCTTGAAACACTCACACACACACACACACAGCAGACTGAAGATAACCAGAATGTGTGAGGAGACCTTGGATTCAGAGCAGTAAGTCAACGCTTTCAAATCTCAAAACATCTTTTTAAAGTAGGATTTTCAGAAACTGAGGAAATGAGTTAGAAAAAAGTATAAATTGTTTAAGCTCAGTAGGTTATACTGAAAATTGCTCATATTTAGGATTTAGTAATGTCTTGGCATGTCATCTTTTTATTTTTAGTAGTTTGTTTTCAATTTTGTGATTTGGTTTATTTCTAAAAAGAACAAATTGTCCAAACACAGTTAGCTTAGCATTTTAAATCACAATATATCTGCAATGATATCCCCGCTGCTACAGATAATCCAACCCAGTCTCACGGCATTTCGTGTTATAGTCACGACATTTAATCTATTGATTCGTGTTCACCATCACGATGTTCCCCTTTTTTCGTGTCACACAGAACGATTTTAAAAGCAATGTATTTCTATTGGTAGGATGTTTCGTGCCTGCAGCACGTCTTTCTGTCCGGTCGGGTCGTGGAAGACCGGAAGCTGTGTGGTTCATAAAAACATGTTCTTACTCAATATCAAGCCACGATTATTGTTTTTATTTTAAATCGTATAATGTCTGACTTTTTTTGTCGTCTGTGAGGAAACTAAATGGCTCAGAGCCTCAGAATACCGAAATCAGTATTTTTAAATCTTTTTTTCCTTCTAATTTGTTATTCTTTTCTAAATAACACACTGTTATTTACTCACCAATAACACACAATTATCCTTGTTTTTATTTGTTTAATTCTATAATATCTGGCTTTTTTGGCGTCCGTCAGGAACTGACAGGAAATGCCGTGAGGGTTGGATAATCAATGCTACTAGTTTGTTCACTTAACTTAAGCTAAGTGATCGATATGAATAACAATTGTCTTCCTATTGATAGGCATCTGGTGTGTCTAAAGCCAAGCTAATTAGCACTGCAGCATTAACGATTATATAACAACAGGAAGAAGCTTAAAAGATGCCCTGCTACAAAGTTAGCAACCGGTTAGCTAGTTAGCACACTTCAGGTTCAGACTAGCCATACTAGCAGTTAGCTGGCTAAATTTGCAAGCTAGTTTATGAATCCAAAATCATGAAGGACTCAATTATGACTTCCTTGAAATCCTTAAAACTCTTGTTGACATAGGAAGTGGTGTTCACGATATGCTTATGCTAGGTAATGCTAATATAACGACACAGTAATGAAGGCTAGTCGTAATGGTAGAGGATAAAGATAAAGACATTGCGAAAGTCGTTTTCTCAGAAATTATGAAATACACGACTACAGTTAATATATATCCAAGAGGAAATGTACTTCCAAGAGTCTCGGCCATGTAGTGAACACAGTGTGTGTTTGTAGTAAACACTGTGTGTGTTTCTTTGTGTCTGCATGTCGACCAGTGAGGCTTGCAGTAAGCCGGATTACTCACCGGTTTC